ATGGAAGCACCCGCTGTACCAGCTGCGTTTTTGTAAGTATGCTTACGTAATAAATATCGTGGTGTTCGTCTCCTATGGTATATGCATGACCATAGTATATAATAATAAGTGAAGAAACTAGTCGTGTTAAGTAATATAAGAATTTTTTAGGAACTTTGAATTTTCGTTTCAATAAACCGAAATTGTGTTGAATTTTACCAGTGTTTTAATAAAATAAATCGATAGTTTTTCAAGGATTAAAATAAATAACATTTGAATAAATTAATAGTTTATTTTAAAATAAGTCATGAATTATTTTAAATAAATTAAAAAATTTTTTAACTTTAAATTAAATTAAATAAAATTTTTATTTTCAGGTATTTTATGTTTCAATCATTTTAATAGAATAAGATAGATATTGTTCAGTACTTTAAGTCATTTCTAAATAAAATAAAATAATAATTTTATTTACAATAAATTTATTCAATCATTTAAATTAAAATAAAATAAACTAAAATAATAGTTTAATTTAAATAAAACTTTTAATCATTCTAATAAAATAAATTCATTAACAGTAAAATAGTTTAAATTAGTAAATTAACTTAAAATAAAATAAAATAATAGTTTAAATTAAATACAATTTTAACCATTTTAATAAAATAAATTCATTAACAATTAAATAATTTAAAATAATAAATTAACTTAAAATAATTTTCAATCATTTAATAAATTTAAAATAATTTAAAATTTTTATTAAATTAAATTAAAATAATATTTAGTTTTAAACTAAATCTTCAATCGTTAAATAAAATAAAACAATAATTTTAATTTTACAATAAAATTATCCAATCAGTTAATTAATTTAAATTAATAATTCAATTTTAACTTATCATAATAAATTTAATTTAAAATAAATTTCACTCATTTAAATAAAATAGAAATAGTACTTTGATTTTAAAATAAATTTCAATCATTTTGGTTGATGATAAGAATGATAAGAAATCTCAAAAACCACCCACTTTAGAATCAGCTATCCAGGTTGCTAAGGACGAAAAGACTGAGATTAAGTCTGAGTCAGATGCATACCAATATTATGGAGGCAACAGTTCAGGTAGACAAGTAAACAACTCCACCAGGGAAACCAATAATTCTAATAGGCGGAATAATAATTTTAATAATCGTTATAATTACAATTCATCCACTAATAATAGACCGAATCATAACAATGACAATTCACAGAGACAAAATTACAATCCTAGAGATTCGAATTATATTAGACCACAGTACAATCGAAATCCGAATTTTAATAGACCTGACATAACTCAAGGTAATAGGAACAATTTCAACAATAATCAATACCAGCCTCGCAACAATAATAATTTTAATCACAACAATGATTATAATCGTAGTAGTAATTATCGGAATAATAACAACGCAATAGGTAACATACGATGTTATCAATGTGGAGGCAATCATTTTGCCCGGGATTGTGTACAGCATCGTAATAGATACAATTCGCGTCCATCTAACAATAATTTCACACGACAGCCTACTAATTACAACGCTCCGGTAGACGTTATGTGCACGTATTGTAAAAAATCTGGACATGACGTTACCAGGTGTTTTAGGAAACAGAATAACGATAGGTACAATAATAATTCGGGAAACTTGCCGAGATCAGGCGACATGAGTGGCGCTCGCCCGATAAATTTAATAGCCGCGGTTGAGGAAGATTTCGACAAATGCTTACACATTGTATCAGTCTTAAACAACAATCATGTCACATGTCAGTCTGTCAAAATAAGGAAAGAATTTATAGAATTGCTGATAGATACTGGAAGCGCTGTTAATTTAATAAAATTTAGTGCTTTGACAGGTGACACACTAGTACACGAAAACAGAAAAATATATTTAAAAGGAATTAATGATAAGATAGTGTCAACAGTAGGACAAATTAAGATAACTTTAAGGTTTAATGAAGTTAATATTGAAACGGTGTTTCAAGTAGTACGTGATTCGTTTCCTATACCTAGGGATGGTATTTTAGGACAACAATTTTTAAGGGAAAATAAGGCAATAATTGATGTAGCTAATAATTCGTTAATAATAAATAATAAGATATTCAATAAGATATTTAATTCGGTTGGGTTAAAGCGTTATTTGGTTTAAATTTGGAATTTATTAATTTTATATTTGGGTTATTTTATTATTATATAGTTAAATTAGATATCTTGTTTTTAATTGTTAATTAAACCTAATTAATTGAGCCAATTGTGTGCTAGGGAAGACAGATGAACTTTTACTGAAAATTATACTAGGAGTAGTGCACGATTTATATGCTAGGACGAAGTAGGGACGCAACAAGGGTTTCATAGGACATTGTTAGGATACATGAAGTAAATCCCCGAACCAGAAGACCTACTGGCAAACAAAGAATATAGAATGATAACAAATTGATTATATTATAGATTATTTGGTATACTGGCGATTCTTGGACAAGCAAGGGTGACATATGATACAATAGGAGCGAATAAGATAATACTTAATAAAAAGACACCACTAGGAGAACTTGTAGTACAAGGTATGACGATTTATAAGGACAACAATATAATGATACCAGATAATTATAGACAAACCTGTAATTTACAAACCATTCGTATAAATTGCAAGGGAACAATGGACGGTGAAAAACTAGATCAAGCAGATGGAACATATCTGTCCGTATACGTAGGTAACCTATGTTCAATTCAATTATTGAGAGGAGAAGACGACGAAGAAGCAACCATAATGCAATTCGGGTTGAGTGGAGACAGGATAATAATTAAACAATTCCTTATAGAACCCACCACTAATCAAAATTATCAAATCAACAACCAATCAATGGAACCTCTAGAAAAGGAAACCAGAAAACGATCATTATCCGACAAATTGGAAACAACCACCCCGTCAAACAACACTGAACGTACAGTAACAAACTCTCCAGAACAAATAAAATCAGATGCAATTATCTCTACGCCTACTACAACCACTCAGGTACAAAATGAAGAAAATATCACAAAGCAATTGGGTACAACAACCACCCAATCCAACGTTGTCACCACTGTCAAGGAATCGCACGTGAACGCCACAATTGTTGAAGAAAATACCGAAATTATTAATTAATAAACTAAGGGATGTAACAGAATCTAAAGAATCCATAGGGTCAACTACAATATGCAATGAACCAACTAATAGAAACGGGTTAGAATCAAAATATATATATATATATTAAGTATTATAATGGGAATAGTAATAATTGTCATGATTATATCAGCAATTAACATAGCACGGAATTATAAATTGGTAGAAAGAAATAGATTTAATTATTTAAATACAATAAATCTTACTTCATATAAATCATATGATGATATAGACCAAGCGGAAACACAAGTATAACAAAAATATTTCAAAAATCTCCAGTACTTGAAGTTATTGTGAAACATGGTTACACGACCCTTAGTAACTGTAGCTATGTGACGCAAAAATGGATACTGTACTGGACGAATTATCGTAGTCAACATAGGATCTTTATAAGCATAGATCTAGAAATTAATCATAAGAATAGATAAGGTTGTACTCACCATATGTACAAGTAATTATTTAAGATAGAGTGTTGAATTAAATAAAACATAAATTATTGGGGAATATAATTATACATATATTAGTTATAGATATTACAGATTACTATCGTTGTTAATTACATAGAAGTTGACATGAACATGGTTACATGACCTTTAGTAAAACTGTAACCAAAGACATGAAAACGGAAGGTAACGAACAGTTAATATAATATTATAGGAAACCATAACAATAAATCGTTATGATGAATTTGAATTATTTCTTATGTAGGTTGTTATGCATTTCTACCATTCAAGGGCAACTTCCGTACTTAAATGAAGAATTTAAGAATGAGACAGCTATATTTTTCGAAAATCAGGGCGAGTTAAGTAGGAGCACATTGGGAACTTGTAACTTATGTACCTTTAATTAATTATGACAAACGGTATGATCAATTATTCAATGAAATTAGTAATATGTCACATAACTGTAAGGATACAATATCTGAATATGAAGTGTGCAGGGTTGCTACTAATTTTTTTCTTAAAAAAGGTGAGAATAGTGAGTATTTTTTTCAATTAAGTGAGTAATATTCTAGTAAAAAGTGAGTATTATTTTCATATTATAGGTGAGTTTTTTTAAACAAAAACATAAAAATAAAATACAATAGTTTAAAATATTTTTAGTTGTTTTTTACTTTTTCAGTTTATTATAAACAAGTTAAAAATTATACTTATAAAACAATTTTATTTAAATATTAATAATAATTGGTTCTACCTACAGTACCTAAATTATATAACATAAATAAAATGTAAGTATCCAACAAATATAACAACTGTAGAAACTGATATTATAGTATTACGTATATTAATTTTTTGAATGATATTATAATATAGTATAATATATATAAATCTCGTAGTATAATATAATATAATATACGTATTTGTAATTAAATATTAATAATGTGGTAATTATAGATACTAATTAGTGTTTAAAAAATATTTGTTCAACCATTTTCATGAAGTTATGAGTAATATTGTAGTCTGGGGATTTTTATTCCGCAATTCATTTTTTTTATTTTTAAAAATAGTCTTAAAACATAAATAATTATAAAAATGTCGAATATTTAATTTAAACACTCTTTACATTTATAGATCTTTAAAAAGTGAAAAAAGTGAGGAATCAATGAAATAAGTGCGAACAAGTGAGCACCACTCAATAAGTGAGAATAGTGAGAAATAGTGAGTGCGTAGCAACCCTGAGTGTGCACAAGATTTGCACATGTAGTAAAAACCGCGTTTAAAGAAATAGCGACGAAACGAGAACAAATGTATGAATCTATTGGTAGATACGTAGGAACTGATAATAAAATGTCCACGGTTGATAGGAATAGACGGGGGCTTATAAACATTATAGGTAGTGCTATGAAAACATTATTTGGAGTATGCGACGATGATTGTACCAAAGAAACTAATAATAATATTGAAAAATTGAAACCCAGCAATGAAAATATGTTACATATCTTAAAGAGTCAAACCACTGTAGTCAAATCGGTAGTACAAGGAATAGGAAACACATCCACTGAAATGAATACATTATATGAGGAACTAGTAAACAAACAGGGTGAAATCTATAAGAAACTAAAAACAGCAGAAAATCATACATACACTATCGAAACAATGATGCTCAGTGACAGAATACATAACATTTTCACTGCATTAATCACACAATTTTCATACGAAACCACGACTATAAGTGCCATAATAACAGCCGCCAGAACAGGAATATTACACCCAAGTCTAGTAACCTCTAGGGAACTGGCTAAACAGCTAACTCAATCAAATTAAATTACCTGTTAATCTAAATTTGCCTATGGGGTCAAACTCAAAACCAAATGAAATTTATGAACTAAGTAACATAACTAAAATGGCCGTGTACTATAGTAGGAACCAAATTGTTTTCTAATAAAAATTCCACTAGTAATCGAATTAGAACTAAACCTTGTTCAAATAATACCTATTCCACATAAATTTGATTCACATCATAGTGTAATTTTAAAACCCGAATTCCAGTATGTAGGAATAACCAGAAATAGGAAACAGTTCACAACATTCACTGAAACTCAATTGCTGAGTTGTACAGAAACTGAGATTTTTATCATATATCCAGAGTTTCAACCCGTACAACATGAATCGGTTAGACAACCGTGTGAAGTCTCGTTATTCAAAAATCCGGATGAGTTACCTAGTAACTGTGAGGCAGGAATTATAGTAATTACTAAAAAATATTTATCATAAATTGAAATATGCCAACACATGGATTTACACTACTACTAGTGACACATTGACCATAACTTGTCAAGGCGAACAAGAACCTTACATAGTGAAGTTACAAAATCAAGGGCTAATCAATCTAAAACAGGAATGTAAAGCTTATGCCAATGATATAGTCTTAAATCCCACCAGAGAGGTCAAGTCAAAATATTATATAAATTTCATTCCCAAATTAGGTATAGGAAGTTTGACATTAAAAATCCCACAACTCGATGCAATACAATACAAAGTACACACAAAACATGATTTATTAAAATTAGATATGTACATGAGTTAGCTCATTCATTGAGTGACATCCAGTCAATGATAGACCAAGAATAGATAGGCCAGAGTGGAAATGCAGAAGATACTAAATATTATATGACGTACGTTTTATTAGGGTTGATTCTATTTTTGTTAATTATACTAGTAATACTATATGTAATATACCGTTATACTGATGTTTTGAAAAGAACCAATACTAGGAGGAAAATATCGATAGGTGAACCAATTAATAGGAGTAAATTTATACGCAACAAATATATGAAACAATGAATAGGGATAACCCACAATCATACGCATTACAAAGCCCTATAAATACAAGTAAGTTAAATGAAGATAAAACGTAAGTAAGGAAAATATTATGCAGGTAATGAAGTAACAAGTACAAGTAAAGTAAATACAGGTGTTAATGTTGCCATTCAATAATAAATGGTTAAAGTAGTTAATTGAAATAATGTAAAGATAAATTTAAACACGCACTTATTAAATATACTGGTCTGTAATTCCATTGGAGATTATGAAAAATTTGTAATCATTAAAAATAAATTATATATAACATGTAACTTAACATTAAAATATTATTGTATCCAATGCTATTGTAATAGTATGTTATAGTATAAGTTATTAAGGTATAATTGTTAAAAAAAAAAAAAACTTTAATTATTATGTTATTATGTTTAAAAATCAGATGAAAAAAATATTATATATTGTTATGTAATGAAACTGTTATGTTATATAAAAAAAAAAAAAAAAAATGTTATGTTATGTTGTTATAAAAAGAAATATTGTTATGTTTGTGATGAAAAATTATGTATTGTAAAAGAAATTATGTAAAATGAAAATCATTATGTCATGAAAAGAAATTATGTAAAATTGTCTTTATGACAATTATTAACAATTTATGTACTATGTATTTATATCCATGTTTTATGTAAAATTCCTTTAAAGATTTTTGTAGTTCTACAAATTGTAGCCCTACAAAAACCTTTGAAAGGGCGAGGAGGTGTAACGGGCTGTGACTACGTACATATTATAATAGTAATAATATATAAAATATTATATTATATTATGCTGTATTAAGTATAATACGCTTATAATATAATATATTATATTCAATAACAGATATAAATGCTGCAGAGGGCACGTAACCCGATAATAGTAATAATATAAGCGTCCGGGCGGCCACATCGATAAGAGTATAGAACGCGCACATTATCCATATTCTAGGAAAGACGAAAAAGCCGTAAACAACAAAATAGATAACTTTGAAAACATATAATCCCCAATTAACATTATTTCGTAGAGGACGCCAAAATGACGTCAGGTGTACGCGGCTATGTACCATTTTTATACTAAAAATGCCATAGGAGGGATCTAATAGGAAAACCGACGAAATACGTCGATGGACAAGTGTCCATCAGACGAACACCAGCCAAGACGACGAGCACTAGCAGAACAGCCACAAAGTCAATACTAAGTCACAACCCGTTTACCACAATTTTATAATTTAATTATTTGGACTTAGAATATTTTTCGTGTTAAATAAATACAAATAAACTATCATTATACCATCAACTTGTTATTTTAATTCAAAATACCATCAATATTGAGTTGAAGTGGTTGGTACGTTACAATATGTATAATGTTCAGTGGCGCCGAACACGGGGTGTTTTTTGGGTGGTGGCGGTGGTGGTGGTGGTGGTGGTCAAGTTGGTGGTGGTCAAGTTGGTGGTTGTAAATAATAATAATATTATGCTATACTTCTTATAGATATTATATTATTCAATTATTGTTTCATAACACGTAATCAATTAATTCCGTTTAGAATATAATAACTATTAACTAATAAGCAATAAGGTAGGTACCAATTATATGCAGTAAGACCTGTGTGATGTGTACAGCGTAAATAACTATATAATATTGTTATAAATGTACCTATATAATAATTAATATTATGTTGGTATGAGTACTACGAAGTACGAACTATTGTCAATTCTGATAATTCTATTTATTGTATATTTAATATAGCTTATCATTATTAATAAATGGTTGGCCCGTGGACGTTGATGTTAATAATATCATATCTATGTATGGGAAAAATAAAAAAAGTCTATTAGATTCTGAGTGAAACGATGTATGTATTGATTTTACAATGATGTGTTTTTTTTTTTAATTAATTTTTTTTTACTTTTTATTTTTTTTTTTGTGTCTGTCATCACGTTTTAGGACAGTAAATGTGCTTGGATTTTCTTCAACAGTATCTTTTCTGATAGGAAAGTGAATCTAGTTGGTACTTTGGGGGGGTCAAAAGTAAAAATTTCCCAATAGTTTTCACAAGCGTCGGGAAAAACAACACAAATATTAAGGAAAAACGGGGAATATTTAAGCTAAATCAGTTTTCCAAAAAATCGATTTTGGTTTTTGGTGTAACTCTAAAATAAATGAACGTATATACATGAAATTTTCACTGGTTGTTTATATTTGCATTTTCTATACACGATAACATTTTAAAAATATTTTGATTTATTTTGAACTGTTTAGAGACATTTTCATTTTCCATTTTTTTTTATATTCTTTTCTAAAAATATCAATACAATTTTATTTATTGGTTGCGAGAGCTTGAAAATTTAATAGAAGGCTCCTAGTATATTGTTTCAAAGGCAGATGAAAAATATTAAAAATCCTTAGTCACAATTTTTTTTTATAAGCATTTAAAGTTCAAAAATTGACGAAATATGGAAAAATCACGAAAATTAGCAAATTATTTTGAGTTAAGAATTCGTAAAAATTTTTCTTTTTAAATCTAAGATTTGAAAATGTAATACAAGATTCCTTAAAAGATTATCTACCTTTATCAAACAAAAAAATGTCTATAAGAAAGTCAAATTAAATTTTTATGAACGTTTGAAATTCAAATTTTTACAACATTGGATATTCACTCGATTTCTCATGTAGCGATTTCCTTATTTTGTTGTAATTCAAAAACGAACAACTGTAGATACATGAAAATGGCACTGAATGTTTAAATTAGCATTTCCTATACACCATACAATTTTGAAAATATTTTGATTCTTTTTGAGCTGTTTACGGACATTTTCAGTTTTCAATTTTTTTAGTTTTTTTTTTCTATAAATATCAATTAAGTTTTATCTGTTGGGCCAAAATGATTATGATAAACAGATTCAAATACCATCAGTCAGTGAGATTTTACCAACTGATACTCCTAATGCAGGTAATTATAAACATTATTTATCTACTTATAATTTTAAAATGTATTGGAATTTTGTAAAATTTTAAAATTTAAAATTATCAATTTAGTAAAACTATAAATGTAGGAATTATTGTGATTTTTAATATAACCATTATAACCTATACCCAAAATATAAATTGTTATAAATATATTATACATTTATATATTCTATTAGGTATACCTATTATATTATATTGCTTTCATTGAATTAGGTACCTACTAATTTGATAATTAATTATTTTAAATTATTTTTCGCCTACAAAAAAATACAATTAGTAGGTACAAGTTTTTAATTTTAATTTTTTAATGTACATTTCATGTGTTAAAAAATACATTTTTATTCATTGTTTTACAACTAAATTTACTATATAAATTCTTTAAATCCAGGACGTAAAAATACATCTTTTATTTCCTGGGATCGCCAAAATCTTTTAATTGAATCTGTTTCAGAATACATATCACAAATTGTTCAATCTGATATTATTTCATCAAGAATATTCAGTGTTTCACTCGATTCTACCTTTGATATATCCCGTAAGGAACAATTTTCTTTTATCATAAGGTGTATGTTAATGAAACTAATGCTACAGTTATGGAAAGATTATTAGCATTAAGAGAATCCCCATGCACTACCGGAGTTCATCTTTCTGAGTTATTTCAAAATGTTTTTAATCATCATAATCTTGATTGGAAATCAAATTTAGTGGGTCAGTCATATGATGGGGCTGCAAACATGAGTGGGCAGTACAATGGGCTTCAAGCTAAAATACTTTAACAAAATCCTCAAGCCCTATTTATTTAGTGTTCTGTTCATAGGTTAAACCTAATAGCTAGTCAGGCAGTAGGATCTTGTTCAAATGCAGTGGATCTATTTGGAAATTTAGAAAAAATATTTACTTTTATCACTGGAAGTAAAGCACGATCAGCTTTTTTTAGAGAAAAACAATTAGAACTCTATCCAAAACAACAAATAAGATCAGTGAAACGTGTAAACACTACTCGTTGGATGTCACATGCCTATGCCTTAAATACCGTACTTGATGTTTACGATGCAGTTTATCAAACAATAGAAGAAGTAAGAAATAGAGACGGAGGATCGGATTTCAATCTTGGTGCTGATTGTAATGGACTGCTTAGCTACTTGACTTCTTATAGGTTTTTAATGACAGCTCTTAGTTTTAAAAAAATATTTGAAATACTTGAACCATTAACCCGTACATTACAAGCTCGTGACATAGATATTTTAGCAGCGATGTTTTTAGTTAATAGTGCTAAGGAGTCCATAGTGGCACTGAGAACTGAAGAAACATTTGAAAATATTTTGATATTAGCTAAAGAATTTGATGATAAGTATGAGAATGAGGAATTTGAGACATTGCGGACAACAAGAAAACGTAAAGTTAGAAAAATGGCTGGGGAATTATGTAGTGATGAAGTTGAACAAAATCCTATTCAAAAGTTTAAAGTAGATACTTATTTTGTAGCATTAGATATTATTAAAACACAAATTAGTCAAAGATTTACTAATAAAACTATTGAAGTAATGAAAGATTTTGCTTTATTATCAACCAAACGTATAAAAGCATTAAAAAAAACCCCTAAAAGCATTCCTATAGATGCATTTAAGGCTGTTTGTTTGGTATATAATACATTATTAAAGTTAGAAGATGTCCGTAGGGAGTATGAACAGTTTATAAATTGTGATTTAATTGTTAATGAAACTTTTCCATTATATGTGTATCCTAATTTAAATGATGACAATTCAAGTTTGAGCTCTAACGATTCAAACAGTGACGATACTACATCTGAACAATTAAAAAAGTGGCAAAATTCATCAAGTTTAATGTGTGTTTTTCAAGATTTCTGTAAAGCTGGTCTAAAATCTATTTTCCCAAGTTTATTTATGCTTATAAAAATTGGAGTGACTATTCCAGTATCAAGCTGTTCCCCAGAGAGATCTTTTTCCAAATTAAAATTAATAAAAACTCGTCTAAGAAGCACAATGGGAGAAGATAGATTGGAAGATCTGATGCGTATCACCTGTGAAGCTGATATACAGTTAGATTCAGAAACAATAATAGACAACTTTGCGACAAAATCTACAGTTTTAAATAAAAAATTAAAATACTAAAATAATCTAATTATTTTTTGTAAATTTGTTTTAAGTGAATATTTTACTCTTTACTGTGATTATCATTAAAATAAATAAAAATTATTTATTTAAAAGTTTAAATTATTTTATTTATTATCTATTTTATTATATTATAATTTATAACTACTACTATTAATAATTTATTTGTGAAATTCTATTATTAATTATTAGTAACTTATATTATTACAGTATTACAACTGTTTCAAGTTATGTGTACCTATATTATTAATTTTTATAATATATTTAAATAATTTTTAAAGAAATATATAAAAATGGGTGTTATTGTAAATAGAGGAATATTATTAAGGGGGGTATGGGGGGCAGAGCCCCCCATTAACTTGTAAAATTTTTTTTTGGGTACGTGGTGGGTGTATTGCCTATTTTGGAAAGTTTGACCGACTATTTTAATACTGTCTCGGCGCCACTGATCTAGACACGCGGTAGCGTGTCAAGCCAAGTTCTAGCTAACAGAACTGGCGAGCAGCACCGTGTGTAATATTACACGAACCATTTGGAGCCACTTTTGACCCCCTCATAACTCAAAAACTATTCCACATAAACATGTCAAATTTGGCTCATATATTGAGACTAACGAGATACATATGTGGTCTAAATTTCATAAACATACTTCAAACCGTTATTTAGATATTAACGTCCGAAAATCGTCATTTTTATCACTGACTTACCTATAGATCAAAATTCTAACCCAGTTCCAGATGACCTAGAAAGTTCAAATTTGGCATACAGATAGGTAGTTAGGTAAATACAAAGGAAAAAATCAGAAACTTGAAAATTTTTAATTTAAAATTTTTTAATTTTTAATTTTTAAGTTTTCAATTTTTAATTTTTTAATCAATTGATTTTATTATAATTTTGCAATTATTTTATCTATTATGTTTAATTTTTCAATTTATTAATGAAATGCCTCTAATTTAATGTAATGTTGACTTAAATAACCTTTCCCGTATCGCCGCTCCAAAAATACGACTAGCCGAATATGTGTCGATATTGTCGACCCGCGCGCAGCAACATACTTTTTTTTCCATCTATGTATTTAATTAATATTATTTTTTTTAAATATTACAATTAAAATAATTAAATAATTATTCTTACAAATTATGAATTATCCACCCAACAGTAGAAGCTACAGTCAATAAAATTATGATAATTAAAAATATACTCAAAAAGAGTTAAAATAATTGTATATTAATTTTACATATATTTTATACTCTGTATATACAACGGAAAATATTTTATAATAAATATTATTATTAATATTAGTAACTGAATTATATTATATAGTAATAAACTTTATTTATAGAATACGTCATGGCTAGGTTAGGTTAGGTTATAATAATTTACATACAAAAAGTAATGATATCCCACCAAAAACATATATGTAAAATGAGAGCCAAGTTCAATACTATAATAATATATACCTTGGTTGTTGACTTCAACGACAAAAGAAGTGAGATCTAAATGGGTGCCAAGTTAGGATAATATATTGAAGCCTAAGGTCTGACTTGGCTACGAATTATATATTATAGCATTTGCAAGTTCTAAAGCTTTGAGTTCTTATTTTATTCTTCGGAAAATCATCTTCACTCTTCCATTACTGTTTTAGTAGGTACCTACTTATAATAATAATTCGTATATGAAAAGTAGCCAAGTCACACCTTAGGCTTCAATATATTATCCTAACTTGGCACCCATTTAGATCTCACTTCTTTTGTCGTTGAAGTCAACAACCAAGGTATATATTATTATAGTATTGAACTTGGCTCTCATTTTACATATATGTTTTTGGTGGGATAATGTTTAATCTGTATTATACCTACTTAACTATTATGTGTTAGTTTGTTTTTTAGAGCCGACTACGGGAGCAATGAATGTTTTGATTTTACAATGAAGTGTATATGATTCTCGTAAAAAAATGTTCTTATTTTGTTGTTATTCAACAACTATTAACCGTCGATTTTTAAAATGTCCATCGAATTTTTAAGCTATCATTTTCTATACATCATAAAATTTTCAAAATATTTTGACTCGTTTTCAGTGATTTATATACATTTGAATTATGAAATGTTTTTAGTTCTGTATTCTATAAATATCAATACAATTTTATTCGTTGGGTCAGAAAGCTTAAAAATAATTTTAAGTTCCTCGTAAGTTGATATAATATCAGTTAAAAAAAATTAGAAATAAATAGGCAGGTTTTTTTTATAGGCATTTCTACAAAATTTATCATAATCTTTTAAATTTGCAAAATATTTTGTTGTAAGATATTCATACAAAAATGTCTTTGTTTACCTACCCATAATATGAAAATGTAATAAAAGTTTCCTCATAAGTATTTATAATAGCAGTTGAGAAACAATAAAGATCCATATAGGCACTATTTTTTTATAAGAAATTAAAGTTCAATTTTGAACAAAATTTATCAAATTGATAGTTTACAAATAACTATTTTGTAAATAAAAATTTATAAAATGTTCAACTTTCACTGCTAAGGATTGAAAATTTAAAACAAGAGATCTCATAAATAGTTCATACTGTAACCAAAAAATCTAAATAATCAATTAAATACACAGTTAAATTGTACAGATATTATAAGTTCAAATTTGGAAGAAATTACTTATTAAAACAAAGAATAGCGATTTTAGATATTTTGTTGCAATTTAAAAATTGTAGGTATTCGTGGATTCATGAAACTTTTAGAGTATATCATTATAATTTATATACCTACACGATGACACTTTCAAATGTAATTTTTGGGCAAAAATTGCTTTAACCTACTCATGTACAAATGCATAATAGTAAAATAAATTACTTTAATCACAACATTATTTATAACTGTCTTTGCTCGCTCAGAATCGTTTTTCGTTTGTTCGTTTGTATTTTTATAATTTATAAATGAATTTATTATTATTAATAATTATATTAATTTATTTAATACTATATACCAATAAATTATATAATAATAAGAAAATACATACCCCCTGTCCGAATCAAAATCTGCTATAAAACTTAGTCTTCGAAATTCTGCAACGTTACACATTTCAGTCTGCTTATGATATATATTATTCCCAGTTGACAAATCTTCACTGACGAGTTAAAGACCATTTCTGAAATAACACGCAGCCTACAGTAAAATGTTCAACAATATTCTCATGACCTAATCGTTACGGATACCTATTATATTTTATATGTATAATTTTTATTCTGTATTATACCTACTTAACTATTATGACGTGTTAGTTTGTTTTTTAGAGCGGACTACGGGAGCAATGAATGTTTTGATTTTACAATGATGTGTACCTATATGATTCTCGCAAAACCATTTTCTTATTTTGTTGTTATTCAACAACTATTAACCGTCGATATTTAAAATATCCAAATAAAAGTTCCTCGTGAGTTGATATAATAGAAGTTAAAAAATATTAGAAATACAAGAAATACATAAGCAAGTTTTATTTTCGTAGGCATTTCTACAAAATTTATCACAATCTTGATTATTTGCAAAATATTTTGTTGTAAGATATTCAAACAAAAACTTCTTTGTTTAACTATAATATGAAAATGTAATACAAGTTTCCTCATATCTAAGTATTTATAATAGCAGTTGAGAATCAATAAAGATCCATCGACACGATTTTTTTTATAAGTAGGTAATTAAACTTCAATTTTAAACAAAATATATCAATTCGATAATTTACAAATTACTATTTTGTAAATAAAAATGTATAAAGTGTTCAAGTTTCATTGCTTAGGATTGAAAATTTAAAACAATAATTCTCATAAATAGTTCAAACTGTATCCAAAGAATCTAAATAATCAATGAAAAACACAGTTAAATTTTACAGACATTATAAATTCAAATTTTGAAGAAATTACTTATTAAAACAAAGAATAGCGATTTTAGATATTTTGTTGCAATTTAAAAATTGTAAGTATTCGTGGATTTATGAAACTTTTAGAGTATATCATTATAATTTATATACCTACACGATGACACTTTCCAATGTAATTGTTTGGGCAAAAATTGCTTTAACCTACTGTTGTACTAATGCATAATAGTAAAATAAATTACTTTAATCACAATATTATTTATAACTAGGGCTAGGATTTATATGCAATAACAAATTGTAAAACATGCATTTGATTTACCAAAATATGCAAAAATATGCAAAAACAAATTTTTATTATTTCTAGATATATATTTTTATTATAATTCATAATTTATTATTATTACATTAAATATAAGTTTATATAATTACATTAAATATTAGTTTATATTATTACACGCTACTATGATATGTTGTTTCAAATTTTCAAATACGAACGACTGGCGATTTCAACGTAGAATAGATTTATACTGACTAAAACTCCTTTCCACAGTGGCGTATTTACGGGGGGGGGGTCCAGGGGTACTGGACCCCCCCAGAACCTCTCCAAAAAAAAAAAATTAAAATTCTTACATATTTGCACAACCCGATTTATGTAGACACGCGCGGTCGCGCGGACAGTTTTTTCCCGTGAACAAAATATTATATAAAATTATATTTAATATAATTATACATTTATAGTTGTTATTCTGATGACAGTTTCCAAGTTACGACTTAATACGAAGTGCGATAAGCCGATAAAAGTAATAGGTATTAAGTAGTGATGTAAGTCGGTAATATTACTTTGGTAAAGTATTTTAAAGTAAGTAATTTATCGGTAAAGTAATAAATATAAATTACTTACCACTTTATGAGTATTTTATTTTTTTTTTAGTTTTTAGGTTTTAGGATCTTTGTAGGCAGTGCCACACTGCCACGGGCCAACGGAGTACTGATTACTGATTAGGTTGTACTGATAAAGAAAAATATAAATAAAAAAGTAATAAAAAAGTAATATTATCGGTAATTTACTCAAGTAAGTTACCTAAAAATAAATTACTGATAATTTTGTATAAATTTCCCAATATTACCATA